ATAATATTTAATAAATAAAAAATACAATATTATAAATATATTTTAAATAAAAAATTAATTATATAACAATTTATCTTAAAATATCTATAATATTTTGCCTTTTACTTTTAGCATCATTGCAAAGACGCAAACCTGTAAAAACGGCCCAACGGTCGATTCCCGCAGATCACGCCGCCCACTTTATTGCAAAGATGATAACAGGAAGTAATGGGCCCACTTGTCTTTATCTCTGTCCTAAATTCGAACACGTCATTTTTTTGTTTTTTGTTTTTCTCCTCAATTAAGCCCAATTAGAGGTTGAAATTCTTGACCCAGTCTCATTCCGGTAAAAACCAACATTTAATCCCTTACCTTATAAAATTAGTAAGTTTTAACTCCTCAACTTATAACATAATACTTTTAGTCTTTTACCTTACAAAATTGATAAGTTTTAACCCCTCACCTTATAAAGTTAGTAGATTTTAACCTCTCACCTTATATTATGACATTTTTAACCCCTCACCTAATATCAAGTTATAACGTTTTATTAGTTCTATTAACTTACTATTTATATTTGTTAGCATTCCATTATAGAAAATATTAAATTTAAATTCAATTTTATTTGTTGGTTCCATTAACGAAATGCTAACGGATGTTAACAGTCAATTAATAGAATTAACAATCAGTTAACAAAATTTACAATCAACTAATAGAACTAACAGAATATTATAACATTGTGTTAAGTGAGGGTTATTTTTTTCAATTCATATAAATAATTGACTAAAAGTGTCAAAATAAAAGATGAGAAGTTAAAACTTACTAACTTTATAAGGTAAAGGATTAAAAATATTATATTATAAAATTAAAAGTTAAAACTTATCAATTTTGTAAAATGAGGAATAAGATAAGGAATAAGATAAGGAATTAAAAGTTGATTTTAGCCGTCTCATTCCTCCCTTCCACACGCTCTCTCCTCTCACCCTACCTTCCTTTTTCACCGCAAATGGAAATTAAGTGTAAGTTTGATTCAGTTTTTTTAAGTTTTAATTTTTTTGTATTATTTATATTTCATAAATTTAAATTTCAAATAATAATATAGGTTTAAAATTATCTAGATGACCAAATTAAAGAAAAATTGATTAGATGGCACTAATGCATGCTTACATGGAATGTTCTTAGTTTAGATAATTTTAAAAGAAACATTTTACGTAACTTTTACATTTTAATTAAATAAATTTGTTTATATAAAATTATAAGTTAATTATTAAATAATACATACAATTATTTTAAAAATTATCTTTAAATTATTTTTTATCCTCAAGGGAGTCTATTATTTTTCAAAGTTATAAAAGTTTTTTTTCTCTCTCTCCTCCACCTATTCCTCCTTCAATCTCTGTTCAAATTTTCCAGAAAGTCTCAAGAGTGCTTCAGAAGGCAATTTCCAAATTGTCAACCTAAAATCTGAAGGCAATTCCCAAAGAGCAAGCTATTTTTTTTTTCTTAGTAAAATAAGAGTTAGCAAGGGATTTCTTTAATGTTTCTGACTGCAGAACAATTCTTGGATTTCAAAAGAGGGAGGAAAACATGTTTCCCATCATTTTTACCATTTGAATTGATTTGAATTGATGCAGAATGGGCTAAAACGCCAAATTTCGTCCAATTTAACAAAATGCTTGATGGTTTTCCCTATTGGTGCTGAGACTTTTGTAGGATTTTCTTTTCTGTATTTAATGTGATAAATGGGATAGCCGCAAATCCTGATAAAAACCAATGTGGCCTCGCCTGAGTCGGCAACCATTAGTGGAGGGATGGACTATTACAGTCAAGGGCACTCCTTTTCAGTCAATCCCTATCTGCCTCGTTGGCTCCTTTCCGACGAAAACAATTATCTTCAAAGTAACCATCTTGTTGCAGAATCGCTGATTGGAAATTTTTCGTACTGCTTGGATTTTAGATAACGGGTTAGTGTTTTTACATTCTTGTTAGACTTTCTTTGTATTTTGATAATGATTTAAAACCATAATTCAAAAGAATCTAATCTATTTTTGTGCTAAATGTGCAGAAAAATTAATTCAAGAATTTTAATCTTTCTTCACATTAGAATTAGCTTTGGGTTCGAACCAATTTCAATTCATTCGAACCAATCCCAAAGTTCTTTTTTTGAAAATGGTTCGAATTCTGGTTTCGAAGCAAAAACTCTAGAAGATAAAATTCTAACAGTTCAATTATCTGTTTTGTTTTAATGGCCTTAGAAGGATCAAAATGACTAAGCATATTCCAAGACAAGTCAAAATCCATTATAAGAAGAAGAAAAAGGGTGAAATTTGATTGGAGCTATTGTGAGGTGGCATTGAGGGGCAAAGTAGGTTTTAATTACAAGAGCTCCCAATCAACTATTAAAAGAACATAAAAAATCAAATCTGAGATAACTAAGAAGAACAAATTGCTCCAGTGATACAGAAAAATAGAGTTTGAAACACAAACTATTCTGGATTTTCATCTTCTTCTTGTGAGCTTTTGGGTTAATTGTCTTACAAAGTTTTGTATTCTTCTTGGATTAGGATAATCCTTGAAGGGTTTAAGTGAGTTAGGGCCCATTTGGTGTGATTGGAGCTTTTGATAGAAGTCATGTTAGAGAGAATCTGTTACAGAAGTGCTAATTTTGAGAAGTTAGAAGTGTTTGGTAAAATTTTTTATAAAAGTACTTGTAGAGTGAAAAGTTGTTTGGTAAATTTTTTTATAAAAGTTGTTTGGTAATTTTTGTACAAAAAAATATTTGTTTAATCCTTAAAGTTTAAAAAATTCAACTTCTTTTTAAGATTTTTCGTTAAGTTTTAATAAGACATTAATTAAGAATTTATATTTTTTTCTTTACTTAAATTACATGAAATATCCATACAATAAAAATTAATAATATAGTTAAATTTTTTATTAATATAACCTTAAAATCATTTAATTATATAATTATTAATATAAATATTTTAAAGGTTATTATTCTCCCTTTCCTCTGCTATTTTTTCTTCTTTTTTTTTTTTTTTTTACCTTTGGGTTTGCACAAACCCAGGCACGAGGTTCGTCTTGGAACCCAGCTCTTGGGTTCGTCGTGAACCCAAGCACAGGGTTCGTCTTGAACCCAGGCACAAGATTCATCTCGAAACCCAGGCGGGGGGTTCACAATGAACCCCGCACCTAGTTCATCTCAAACCAAACTCTTGGGTTCGTCTTAGAACCCAAG